AAGCTAATTTGATAGCATAACTTGAAAGTACAGAAATCTGAAATCTACTTCTGAGCATTTGAAACTTCACATCTTTTTACCTCTCTCTCAAGAGATATTACTCAGGTTTAGTGTGACATTTTGAAATGTCACCATCCCTGTCTCAAAACCAGAGGTTTTAACACAGAATAGACACCTACCCGCTTTAGTTCAGAAATCCATTCTATATGTGATGTGATATTCTAAGAACCTCTGTGCATACCGTTTCTTATCCTAAGGAAAGAAAAAAAAAAAAATCACTTCAGGAATCTCTTTCCTGTCCAAATAAACCGGGACTGCTGAAATCAATGGCTAAAGTCACTTTCCAGAAGCCTTATTCTGATACAGGCACAACTTTTGAATAAAAAATATTTGGGGGGGGGGGGATATTTTCCCCTGAAATACACTTTTGCCATGTCAAGAAAATAACATTATTTTTTTAGTAAAGACAGAGTAATTTTGTTTTTGCTGGAAGGCTGAAGTCGGAAAAAGTGGTATACTTGCCAGAGATCCACGCAAACTTCACATTTCATCCATTTGCAGCACCAGAACAACGGCACTCACAGGAGACCTCACGATCCCTAACGCTGTTCTCTTTCTGGCATAATCTGATAATCATCAATATTAATATTAGACATAGAAGTATGCAATCAGTTTTAACACCTACATATGGTAGCATATGAATAAATACATTCTGTAAGCTACTGCTAAATTTGCAAGCAAACGAACATCTAGGTTCTTTGGAGAGTTTAAAATCATTACATGTAAAAATATTCAATTTAAAAAGTACCTACGAAAGGGATTAATCTATTCGTTTCTTGTCTAGCCCCTCGATTCGGTAAATTATCACTGGCAAGCTGTGACGTTTGCTTAAAACATTCTCTAAAGTGAAGACTCATGTTTTAGCCCTAGAAGTCTTCTAAGAGTGTGCTAATACACTTGTACAGCCAAGATGCAGATTTTCCTAAATATTGAAACTGAAAATAACACCAGCTATTGTCAGTGCCATAAACATGGGAGTTGTCACTCAGACATCATTCACCATATAAGGAAATTAAAAAAAAAAGGCATAATTATTATGCAGGATATAAATAATACTGGAAGCGATGATCAAGAGTCTTCATCAGCTCACAGGTATCAGGCTGTCAGAGCAAAACACACAGGAACACAGAACTGAAAGGACTTTCCCAGTCACTGAGTCCAATGACTGCTATCACAGGCAACCAGCTCTCATCCTTTTCATAACTTAACCTTCACATGGGCTTGCTCCATAGATCCCAAAACTCTTAGTGAAAAAGTAACTCTGTTTGAAGTAGCGCCTTTCCATACATTTATTAATGGCTAATTCACACTGCGTGTTCCTGTGCCTGATCTGTCTGTAAGATTTAACATTTTTTCACATTCCTGCAAGATTTCCCAATCACACCGGTATGTATTCCCAGCAGTACTTATATTTCTGCCACTAAGGCAGCACAGTCCCCATACCAGCCCAAATCTCTCCTTTCCGCACAGGGGTAGTCAGAACCCCCCACAATATTCCATGGGAGAACCCCTGCCCCCGCAGGCAAACAATTCCCACCCCTTTTCTGAATTTTCTGTACCTAATGGGAACTGAGGATTACAGGTGCTTTAGCAGCGTAATTGTACGAGCTCTACTCATTTCCCAGCAGAAATCCTTCTCCTTAGTCCCTACGCCTACTTTGTATATTCAGTACAACTTCTTTTCCCATTTTCCATTTTCCAGGGTTACAAGGCCTTCAGATGTCATGTTCACATTCTTCCCAGTAGTGGCAATGTCATCTGGCTTTTTACAAGTACAAATTTATTTTCTTTAGTGTGCTCCTTTTTTTTTTTTTTCCCCAAAGAACCAATGGAAATTAATTTAAAGCTAAAATAACCAATGTCTAGCTCTTAATGAAAAGGCATCGCCTTGTGTGCTGACTGACAGTAGGCTGAGTGACAGCCAGTGGTATCAAAAAAATAATTGGAAAATTCACTCTTTGTTCACTGAACACTCAAAAATGGAGGCAGCCATCACCAAACAACATGAAATACAGCAAAGACAGCAACAAGCTCTGTGTTTTGCTCTTTTTTAAACTATAAACTTAAACTTAACTTGCTCACCAGATACACTTAAATTTTAAATGCAGAGGAGTGTGTGCACGTCTATTTAGCACTTTTCCTTAGCACTGAAATTAACTTAGTGAGCACTATGTTAGATTCTGACCAATTTAGACCAAATCTGTTTTTTCCAGAAGTTACAGCATTTCAAAGTGAAGAAAGGTATTTAATTAAGCCACAATGCACCTTCTGTTGCTATTGTTATTCACACACTAAGTAAAAGAAACTACAAAAATGTGATTTAAATCAGGTAAAGCAAAGACGCCGCTTCATTTTTGTGATGATGTGCTTTTGTTTAGATACATCACCCAACCAGCTCTTTAAGAAGCTCCTACTTATTAAGTATTAATTAAATGTTTTTGTCACTCCATGACAAAGATCCTTATTTAGCTGGAAATAAAGACAGACTCAAACTTTGTTTTATTTTTTAATAAAGTTTAAATAGTTAAAATAAGAGGAAAGAGTATGTTTTAAAGCCAAGCTATTTCTTTGTTCCTGCTAGGCCTTAAAAGTTGGATTTACCAGCAAATACGTGGCATGAGAAGAGAGCTGTATACTTAAAATGCTGGTGTAGAATATATTAAAACAGCCAGTGACTTACTCCAGGTTACCTTAAAACAAAGGAAACACAATCTTTACAGTTTTTTAAATGTACTGCCTCTTATCCTGATTAATGGAAAAATTATCCCTACAAAAGACTTTTTTTTTTTTTTTTTTTAAATATGAAGACTCTACAAAATCTTTGCTTTATCCATTGGCAAGACTTTGAAATTCTGCAAAATATTTAGATGTGTCTGCCTAAGAAAGTTTATAAATGCCAATCCAACACTGTAACAAAAATTCCAAACAGCACTGGAAATCAGAATAACTCAACCAAATCATCCCTCTATAAGAATATTATATTTCCATTCTGCATAAACACAGATCAGCATGGTTTGTTTTGTTTTAAGAATTCTTCATGACCCGGAGAATACAGCATAGGTTTATTTCACTATTACCTTTTCCCTTCCATTTCCTTAATGTTATTTCCTCATTTACATTTAAAACACTACCTAATTTGTCTACTGCCTTTTTTCTGCCCTTAGGGCTTTTTTTAGCCTCAATTCTATCCTCACCCAAAGAGATCCTTCCCCTCTTACTTCTTAAAGAGGTTTTTCTTTGTTTGATTGATTTTCTTCTTTCTCAGATACAGGTAAGTATCCTACCATAAAGGGAGCAGGGAAACAAAGCAGAATGGGAACAGCACTGGGAGTTACCAGGAGATTTGCAAGCCAAGACTTTGAGTAGGAACTTCAACAGCTACTATTTTTGAAAGAAGAATGTCATGCTTTCTTTATATTTGATAATATTTGACATATTTGATAATATGTCTACTATAAACATAGTCTACTATAAACAAACAGCCACAAACTCCAGACAAAGCGATATAGCACACAGTTCGATGAATTCAGCGTAACACAAAAAAATGGTAGAGTCCTAGTAGCAGCTGCAATGGTAATAAACATTTAGAAACCAAAGCAATCCAATAACCTACAAATACATCTGCTAAACTAAGGAAAAATCTGTGCAATGAGATTAGAAGCTTCCAAATTTCATACTGGTTGCTCAGGGACAACAGTAGAAAACTAAACTCAGATGTAAGGAAGTATTAGCTTGGAAAAGTCTCAGCTGTCCAAAATTCAAAATTGTTAAAAAGCAATACATCTGTTCATCATTCTACGATTTAACTGTTTTCTAGTCTATGGGAATAAACAGCAGGATACAATCGCTTGCAACATCCGTTTACTTTTTTTTTTTTTAAACTTTTTAAACTAAATTAAGAAAATATTCTTACAGAAAAAAAATTAGATGAGCACAAAGAAATGCCATGACAAATCCTGAGACAAATTATCCTACATCATTGCTAGTCTATGAAAACTGGTTTGAATAATAAACATACTGGAGTATTCAGTGACAGCATACAAATCAAAAATATTTGTAAATTATTAAGTTGTGCATGTTTTCAAATGACAAAACATGCTCACGGGTTTACTTTAAAATCTCTCACTGCTTGTTATCAAAGTTAAAAGATCATTTGCATACCAATACACATACTGTAAACATGAACTTCTCATTAAGGAAAGATGGGTTTACAGTAATTTGATCTTTTACAAAAAGCTATTGGTAACTGAATCTCTCAGTGTCTAACTTTCTAGAAAATTAAACCAATGTTTCCACTCTCAAAGTTGAAACACTACCGCTTTAGGAAACAGCCCTGTTTATTTGTTAATCAGAAATACAATCAAGTGGCATATTTCCATTTGCTCTTCGGCTGACAGTTTCAGCTTCATTATATTTTACAAGAAAACAGCAGACTTGCAGAAGTCCTGTAAATTCTTTCATATCGCAACTGATTTAATTACAGCAGTGAAGAAAAGCAGCGGTGATGCAAAATAAGATCAGCCCAATTGCCCTTATCTGATGATAGGACCTTTCTTCCTGTTTGGCTTGCAGCAGTGAGGACTTCTTGTTTTGTTTCGGTTTTTTGTTGGTTTTTTTTTTCTTTTTTTTTTTTTTTTCTGGTCAAACTATTTTAAATTTTTGCTTAGTATCTAGATAGCAATAGGAGCTTCAAAAAGATGTT